ATACTGAAATTCATGACTTTCCATGACTTTCCAGGTGCGCGGATACCCTGTACATGTCTAATATGAACTATTGAAATTACTAAAAAGGATAAATATATTAGAATCCATAATTATGACATAAAAAGACATGATAGGATGGATCAACCGAGAGCTCTACTCCTGAGTGATGAACTGCGAATTCATCGAAATGGGTGTGAACAAACGTCATCATTTAGTTAAGAACGTTTTTTAATTGGTGCAGTTGGTCAATCTACAAAACGTTACACTTCTTTGCAAAATTTGTTGAAAAATAATTTACAATATTATGTAAAAAAATATTTAAATGTTATAAGTTTATAAAAGACTATATATTAAAACAACTTTTATTAAATCATTATCAATAAATAATGATAGAAATAATTAATAACAACTCACTCATAATGAGGCAGCATTGGCTTCAACAACATCGGTAATTTCAGGCACTGTAACAGAGGTTTCTGGATACAAATTATTCTGCTGGAAACATTTCTGGCTGGAAGTCTGTGTAACTTCATCAAACTCAATGGGAATTGGTGGGACCTCTACATAAATGATAAAAAGCAAACTTATCTTAGAATTAAGCAAAAATTTAATAATACTTTAAAACAAGGTGAAAAAGTTAGCCAATAATTTTATAAAACATAAAAATAACAGATACTTATTATACATAAACCTATATTTGCTAACCTGACTTGATTAAATAAATATAGTAAAACTTTGCAATTTTTAATATTTTATATTAAAGCACACTGTATACGATAGCATTAAAATCAAATCAAATTTGAACATATACATACCATTGAGAGTAACTGCAATGTCACTGCCTGCCAACATAGATTCCGAATAGCTTTGGGATGACTGCACAACAGCCGGGACTTCAGTGGTGACTATATAAAGTGAAATAAATCTTATATTTATAATGTTGACTTTAAAAGTAAAGATAAATAAATAAAAAAAATACTCACAACTTGAGGAGGGAAGGGTGGGTACCTTAAACCTTTTCTTTCTAGAAGATTTCTTAAAATTTAAACANAATAATTTACAATATTATGTAAAAAAATATTTAAATGTTATAAGTTTATAAAAGACTATATATTAAAACAACTTTTATTAAATCATTATCAATAAATAAGGATAGAAATAATTAATAACAACTCACTCATTCCAAATAATGAGGCAGCACTGGCTTCAACAACATCGGTAATTTCAGGCACTGTAACTGTAACAGAGGTTTCTGGATACAAATTATTCTGCTCTGGCATTGCTGGAAACATTTCTGGCTTGAAGTCTGTGGAACTTCATCAAACTCAATGGGAATTGGTGGGACCTCTACATAAATGATAAAAAGCAACCTTATTTTAGAATTAAGCAAAAATTATTTAATAATACTTAACAAGGTGAAAAAGTTAGCCAATAATTTTATGAAACATAAAAAAAAAAAATAATAATAATAACAAATACTTATTATACATAAATCTATAATTGCTAACCTGACTTGATAAAATAAATATAGTAGAACTTTGCAATTTTTAATATTTTATATTAAAGCACACTGTATACGATAGCATTAAAATCAAATCAAATTTGAACATATACATACCATTGAGAGTAACTGCAATGTCACTGCCTGCCAACATAGATTCCGAATAGCTTTGGGATGACTGCACAACAGCCGGGGACTTCAGTGGTGACTATACAAAGTGACAACTTGAGGAGGGAAGGGTGGGTACCTTAAACCTTTTCTTTCTGGGAGATTTCTTAAAATTTAAACAATTTTCAAGATCATCATCTGTGCTAGGATCATGCTTAAATCGTAGAGGTATTTGCCGTTTCCTTTTTGTATTAGTTGCATCATCTTCAGTTGCAGATGACTCAAGATTTGATGTTTGTTGTGCTTCTTGAGCTTCAATGTGGGCACTTTTAAAAGAACCTAAAATTAAATTATTTATTTTTTGTTATCTTCGTAAAATCTTAATGAAAATTAAAAAAAAAGAAGAAATACTAACTGGAAGAGCAAAGAACTTTAACTTTAAAATTCTCCCATTGGTCATCTGCAGGCAAGTTGTCCCGCAGATACTTAGTAATTTGATAAGTGGGCAACTTGCTAGGTCACTTTGCCACATCTTTGCTCAATAACCACTTAGTCGGTATGACTTCGACAGTGTCACTTTCTGTGAAAATCACAACAGCATACTTTTTTCCTTTGAAATAGATTTTTACATACAATAAAATTAAACATTTATATACGCAGTACAAAAATTATGATGAAGGAATGAA